TTGGATTCAATATGTTTCATTACACCAAAAGTTCATAGCAATAATATTAAAATAATGTATTTCACAATGATTTCACTATTTTTTTAAAATAATGAACATTTAATTGAGTAGATTAAGTGCTTTATATAGTTAATTCATAGATGTATAACCATACATGATACATAGAGTAAAGGGATTATAAAGCAAGCAAATCCAATGTTGCACCACACTAGATTGAGAAGACAAGCTGTAAAGGTAATGAAGTGAAAAAAATTCCATATTTTTTTTTTGAGCAACCTAATTATTTATGTTTCTAAATTCTTATCAGAGGGTCAGGTTTGGAAGCTCAACATATAGGGATAAGGCTGTAGATGACGGACAACAATTACTGAAGCAGTCAAAAAGAGTTTATGTTTAAAAGAGTACATAAAAAGGTATAGCATATGAACAATATTTGTATGATAAAAAATACAACTAATATAAAGGCTCATATTTTTTTATTTTTTTTTTTTGCTAAAAAAATTACCAAGAAACTCTTGTNTAATGAACTTAAAAATTGTTGGAACTTATTTTTAGGGAGGACGTGGTGTTTTCTTATGGCCAAATAGAAGTCCAGAAGCGTGAATTGATGACATTGCGGCCATCGAAGTATATATGCAGCTCAATAACATATGAAATCAGAACGCTCACCAAACTCACCACTCAGATTCTTTGCTTCAACAAAAGCATGCGTAAGTGATACAGGTAAAGATAATAATCATTTACAAAGACGAAAAAAATAACCATCATTCTTATGTAACAGGATGTTTTCATTGTTAGCCCCCAAATCAGTTGGTCATCTCGAAGAAGGTGCGGGCAATTTCTTGAATGTTCGGAAGAGCAGATTTCAAAAGCAAGAATACCTTTGTCAAGTATCCACATGGTGAATAGTGAATAGTATATAAAAAAAATTACGTTATAAAAATATTATCACAATTTAATTTAATTTTAAAATGTATTTGTCACAGTTCTTTTTGGCTATTCATCACGCCGAACATTTCTCCCTTATGTGTTTTGACATTAAAAAAGCATCTATAAGCCACTTTGACAGCTCCACTGCAGCATTGGACAATTCACTTAATGTCAACTATGACATTCCAATGGCACTGGTAAGAATAATTTATATAAATGAACAATATTTTGATACATACCTGAAATTAACTAACAGAATATGCCTTTATTTTAAAATGCAGGGCAGAATGTTATATCAATATTTGGACCATTGTAGCTTAATAGAGAAAGCCGCAGCAATAAGAAATATGAAAGTTGAAAGGATTAAGATGTCATGGGGAGAAGAAATGCACAAGAAAGACACCGGGATATGTATGATGCGACTCATGGAAACACATATAAGCAATGCGGTAGAAAACTCGAGGCTTGGTATAAAACTGAACTGCCAAACACAGTTGAAGTTTCTGAGAGGAAAATATTGTGCTGCCATCCTAGTAGCTGAAAATAATATGCTCAAGCATTTGAATATGTCTGCCGCAGACATGCACTACCAATTGTCATTTGAGAATAGTTCAATCGATATAGTTCCGCCATGAATAAATGAAATCAGTGTAGAATATGAAGAATAGTTGTTTGCTGTTGTTGGTGTTGACGGACGTTTCCGGTCAACGGTTAAAAAGTCAAGTAATGGAAAGAAAACGAAGAAAAAACAAAGAAATACGATTTAATCACGGTTTTATTAACGGGTCACGAGGTCGGCCTCTCGTACGAGGTCGGCACTTGTGATGTACTTATGTTGCTTACAAGGGTCTCTTACAAGTTTTTTAGAGAGAGAAAATATGAGCTCGAGTAGTTGGGATTCAACAACCCAAAAATAAATGAGGGGGTTGCTATTTATAGGAGACTTTAATGCGGCACTGTTTGGGTACTGTTCAACGATCTTGTCGCACAGTAGCTCAACGGGACAAGCCGGCGCTTCTCTGACTGATTGGGAGTGATTTCCGGATTCTCCAATCATTGCCTGCCATACATTTAATGCGAACGTGGGCTGCATTAAATGCGGACACGTTCTGGCTGAGCTGGACGTCCCATCGGCAATCATTCGTAGACAAGTGGCATTATTTTATTGTATTTGAGATCGAGTTTTTATCCGGGGCCGTCCTGATGAGACTTCTGACGGGGTGCCGACCTCATATCTTCACGTATGGGGTGCCGAGTTCGGGGTCTGTTCTTCCCGCCGTTCTGGACGACTTTGACTTTAAATCGGCTCGGCGCCCCTGCGCTACTCTGTTGACCGGCACCTTTGACTCGGCCGGTCATTGTTCGGTTATCAATATGTCGGACCGACCCCTCTTATTGGGGCCGGACTCGGATATTAACATACAGGCCCCCGAGCTCGGGTGTGGTCCGTCGGACCTCTCCTGAGGTCGTCTTTGATCGGTTGGATCCGAGCTGGGCCCATCGAGCTCGTGTCCGTCCCCTCTTGAAGTCGGCATCTTCAGCACACTTCAATCGTGGGGGCGCAACGGTTGGTAGTCGAAGACGTGGGGTGTAACGGTTGACGAACGTGGGTGCGCGTTAACTGCGTTCACACAAGAGAGGGGGCACGTGGCAGATTTTGGGCCGAGTATTCTCGAAGGGGCGTAACGGTTGAAGGGAGATGACGGTTATCTTGCTCAAGACACTTCAGTTACTTGAAACCGCTTCGAGTTTTGAATTTCAAAAAGGAACCTGTCCACGTGTCTTCCCCCGATTGGTTAAGCAATCTTATATATATATATCCCTTTTCTCAGAAATCCTTTCACTTTTCCCAAGGACTCCAAAAATTCTTTGCACTTTCGAACGTTCCGAATTCACCGAGCCTTACGATTTTTGGGGCGAGCTTCGAGAATTTTCCGGCAGCAATCTCCGGCAACTTTTCGGTAATTCCTGTTCTTCCCCCTTACTTTTTCCTTCTCGTCTCTTCGATTGCGATGTCTTCTTCTCCGAGATCTGCGGGCGACGGCGGCGACTTCGCCGGTGAGGGCGACGAAACTTTCCGGCCGGCGGACATCATCCTTACCGCCGTCCCTATCTCAATTGTTCGGCCGGACCCCTCGGTGGTGGAAGTTGCCTCCGGCGGCGGAGGTGTCGAACCTGACCTTCCCTCGTCGCCGCTACGCGAGGGCGGTGGTGCCGACCAGGACCCTTTGGCTGCAGCCGACGACGATGACGTCGATCTTGATTTTCTGGACACCGACTCTGATGTCGATCCGGATCTGGTTGACGAGACCCTTCAAGGGGAAACCGGCGGTCGGGAGCGTGTCCCCATGGGGGACGCATCGTTTGACGCCGCCCTCGAGGCGGTGACCACTGTTCCTCCGGGATTCTGGCGCCGACCCGAGCGGATCCGGGCGACACCTAGCCAGGCGACGGCCTGGAACACAGCGTCGATCTTGGACGATGTCGATCTGGCTCAGCTGAGGGGGAAGTTCAACTTCGGCCCCGGTGTTCGGCTGTTCGCACCGTATCCTGGAGAGCGAATTCATTGCCCGCCGCCGGGCTGCATAGGGGTCTACCGCCACAGCATCCATTTGGGTCTTCGGTTCCCCCTACCCGGCGCGCTCAACGATATCTTGAGCGGGCTTGAGATCGGCGTTAGCCAGTATGTGCCGACGGTATTTGCCCGCCTGATGAGTCTGATCGTCATGTACCGTCGCGAGGGTTGGGCCGACCCCACCGACGACGAGGTGAGGTCATTGTTCGCTTTCAAACGCGCTGGTGAGACCGGCAACTACTACAGCTCGGTGCTGCCCGGCATCGATAAGACGTTGGTGGCCAAACTGCCCGAGACCCTGCACGGCTACATGCCGCACTGGTTCTGGGTCGGCGGCGCGTGGATGACCCCGAATGCCACTCGGCACCCGCCTACCCATTTTATTTCTCATACTCGTAAGTTCTTTGTTGTTCTCGTTCGTCATCGACTGATTTTCTTTCCTTTGTGCTAACAGGTCGTAATTTTCGTTTTCAGTCCATACTCACAACTCGGCTCTCAGTCCACGTTTGGCTGAACGGCTTAGCACTCTGCTGGCACGGGACGTGGAGGATCGACGCTACTCGAACTTAGTTAAGAAAGAAGTCCTTCTCGATCACAACCTCAGCGCCGAGCTTGTCAATAAATCTTTCGAACCAGGTAGCTTCTTGACCCGGTTCGGCACTTTGTTGATCATTTTAGTCTTCGATGCCTGCCCGGTACCAACCGTGCCCTTTACCTTTTTTTGCAGTTTACTACCCTCTTCTCAGGTTCAAAGGATTCGATTCTGTGAAGGCTGCCAACAAACACCACCGAAAGCACCCGAACCCACTCAAGACAAGAACAAAAGCTGCCATGTCTGGTCGTCTGAACCTTGCCAAGAAGAGGGCGGCGCTTAACAAGGAGTCGGCCCCGAAAGCTGCCGACGTGCCGACCCCTACGGAGCCGAGCACCGTCCCTGCTGTCCCCCAGGCCCCTCGCGCCCCGGCACCGGAACCGCGCATGACGAGGCGACGGGCTCGCGAGGCACCGAGCTCGACCGGCGGCGAGGCCCCGGGTGCGGGCGGCGAGGGCCCGGCTGCGGCGAAGAAGAAGAAAGGCGCCGAGGCTGAAAGCTCGGGCCTCGCCCAAGAGAAGGCTGCGCACATCCATCAGGAGGGGGCGAGCACCTTCGTCCCTATCGATGCCGAGCGGAGGGCTCGTTTTGCTAAGTCCCTGCCCGGCTTTCCGGATGATTGGTACTTGGATCTCCGCTCGGCCGAGGGGGTGGTTGTCCCCAACCAGTTCGGGGTTCCGGAGGAGATGATCAGGGCGGCTCGGCTCCCGTTGGTCGCTTGGACCCCGACTGCTCAGGCCGCCGCCACCCAGCTCTCCACCCCGTCGCTCATTCACCACGCGGCGGGGACCATCTCCCGCGCCTTGGTCGAGCTCGTCCAGGCCGCCGATCGGTCCCAGAGGGCCCTGGCCGACCACCGCAAACTGGAGGCTGACCACGAGCTCTGCCAGGGGAAGATCGCCTCCCTGAAGACAAAGGCAAAGCGGGCCTCCGAGCTGGAGAACCGCTTGGTGTTGGCTGAGGCCGAGGCGGCGAAGGCCAAGGAGAAAGAGTTGGAGGCTGCGCGGTCGCAGGCCAGGATGGCCGAGGAGCTGAGGAAGGAGAGGGCGGCCTGGGCGGCCCGAGAGTTTGAGCTTGGGGAGCAGCATGCTAAGGCCATGACTGAGGAGTTTGATAGGCATGTGGCCGAGCTCGACAAGCTCCAAGCCCACGTCATCAGCCTTCAGAAGCAGCTCGAAGCGCACACTGCCGAGCTGGAGAAGCATGTTATCCAGGAAGCTCCAGAGGACGGCCGCCCCACATTTCGCTCCGTCTGCCGACTTACCCGGAGGTTCAGGAAATATTTGGCAAGGATATCATGGCTGACATGGACTCCGGGGTCGGCTACAATCTCTATTGGCTCTTCCAGCGGCTCGACGCCGGTCTGTTGACCTTGGAGGACTTCCGCGAGATTATGCGAGCGAAGATCTTCAAGCACGGACTGGACGCCGAGTTCGAGGGACTCGTCTGCGAGGTGGACGAGGAGGAGGCGGCTCTGGTGCGCCGGCAGAGGGGATGGACGGAGGACGAGATCGTCGATTTCGCCAACTTCGGCGCGACGCCTCCCGACGAGATGCGCCTGAAGCCGGGCGAGGCCCTCTCCGACTATATGCCTTTCCTGTTGGCGAGCCGAGATTTTGCAGACGAGGCCGACCCCTCCCGGATTCTGCGGGGGACTCACGACCATGAGGCCGGATCCTCGAAGGCAGTCGAGGGCGACGTCGGGGCCGAGACGGATGCGGGTGGCGAGGCCGGCGAAGGCGCCGAGGTGGTGGTGGAACCCTCGGAGGTGGCCGTGGTGGACTTGTCCGCCGATCCTTCTCCTGGGAAGTAGCTTATTTTCGGCCTGCGTGCCGCTCTTGTTGACCGCTTGTGGTCTTTTTATGAAGAACTTATTTTATGAATTTTTATTTTTTATTTTGAACGAATGAATGTTATGGTTGTTTGGATAATCGGATTTTTGTGTTTGTTTACGTATTCTCGCAATTTTTCTGCCAAAGTATGGGTTTGGCGCCGAGCTAGGCGCCTAGTTTTTTGCTCGGCCGGGCCCAATTATTTACTTATTTACTTACGAATGAATGGTTGTTTATTCTCGATTTTTCCAAGTATGGGCTTGGTGCCGCGCCGAGTATTTATTTATTTACATGGCCGAGTCCGAGATCGGACTCGCCACTTTGGATTACTTGCAGGGCCGAGCCCGGGATTGGGCTCGGCACTTTTTGTTTAAGTATTTTTCATTTCTTACATTGGCGCAGTGGCCTTACCGGACTGCTTTGCCGAGCCCGGCTCGTGCTGTTCGAGTTATCGTACTGACCCGGCCTGCACATAATTATGTGGCAGCTTACCTGACCGGTCTCGCGTTCGGACTCGGAGGTATTATTGGCCTGACTGGGCTTCCTAGTTGAGCCCAGCTAGTGCCGGCCAGGTCATCGTACTGACCCTGGCCGACACTTCGTTCCTTACGTTAATTACGCCGCTTCGACTCGATC